GGCTAATTAAATGTTATATTTAGTGGAACTGCAATTTTTATCGGGACAAATTTTGAGTATCTTATGACTTATGATGTCAGGATCTGATGCTTTGTTGGGATTTAAAATGTTGATGATATCAACAATATCGTTAGTATAAATCACTATAACGATCAATAAATCGTTAGTTTTTCCTTCAAAATCGGATAAATGAGTATCCATTCCTTCCAAAGATAAATAAGACAGAAATACGTATTTAGAAGGTCGCATTTCTCGTCGTCGCCATAGACAAAGTCCTCAAAACTGTCATCATTTGAATATTTTAGAGTGGGGGTATACTTTAAGATCCTTTATTGGGTTAAATCAGCATCTTCATAAGTTTTCAGTAAGTTTTAGAATTGGAAGCATTATCTTAAATAATATTTTCCAAATTTTTCTCCAAATTTTCTTTCGCTTCTATTTTCGTATTATTCACTTTGTTTCTCGATTTTTTATATTTATTAATATCTGTTACTTTTTTAGATTACATTGCCTTTTTTGAAGTATTTCCCTTCTGTGAATTACTTTTCTAATTTCATTTTAAAACAGAGTTTTCATTGCCACGTATAGTTACAACTTTAGTTGGAATGCTCGCTCTTGCAATTTCAAGATTTTTTTTAGTGAATATACTGACCATTTCATCATCTTCATCATTTCAGGTATAATATACAAGTGTTTTACAGAATTCGTGAACAAATAGGAATTCAGGAAATGGTGTTTAATATTTATCGCCCTCACATCTCTTTTATGAAGTCTCTCTAAAAGAGTGAGAATGAAATGAACTAAAATGCATAACAACGGGATGACTATTTTTGTAATTATATCCACTTCCTTCGTACCATATCGTCTGCACTTAATAAAACAAAACAAAACAATCTAAATATAAATAATAAGAACTGATACATTAATTCTTTTTTTGTAAAAAAAATAATATAATATATAATTTCCGTACTCGCATGTATTTTATATGACAGAAGACCGCGATGAAGACACTATTGGTTTTTCAAAAACGAGGGTTTTAACAGTATTGAAATACAGTTATGATCTTTCGACTGTAATGACTTTTTTAATGACGTTTTTCAACTACAATAAAAAAAGAGACAAAGACAAAATCAAGAATAAAACTTACCTTTATAACTTTTGTCACAGTTAGCCATTCCATAATAATGAGATGTAACATCCGTTTTGATCTTTCTATTTTAAAATCGGTGACATAATTGTCCCAATTTGTTGCATAAAGTCAACATGCTGTTCGAGACGAGATGAAACCCTTTACTGAAATACAATCGCGGTGGGTAGAACAATATTTCGGGCGGATAGTGGCGCCGTCAACTGATTGTTTGGCACATGTGATTTACGGAATGTCAACAGATTGGTTATGTGTGATACTCGAGAGGAGGGGTAAAAAAGCCCTCGAAAGCACAGCTTTCGCGTGCAATGTTCCCCCATCCTATCATGTATTTACACATAACCAATCATTTGAAGTTTGGTAGGTAGAACTTATTTTGCACATGTTCCATGATTCTGTGTTGATTGTTTATCAAGGTAATCTGTAAACTTCGTCATCAAAACCCGCCAGTTGTTTAGCAGCTAAAGTTTTCGATCAAAAATCACTGAATGAAATATTTTGCACTGATTATGCGGTATGGATTCGTAATAAATGTAAAATAACGTGCATATAAGACCTAGGATAATATTATATATGTATGTATTTGTTCAATACTTCCCTTCGCGTTATAAAAATTTTACAAGAAACTCGTATCATATGACTTTAACAATAAACGCTCTTAGTTGATACCATATTGCGTAAGAGCATAGTAATTTTCAGAAAAAATCCAAACGAATCAAATTTCTTGACGTGTAATTGTGCATAGCCATGCTCATTAGTCCGGGACCATTTATCTTTTGTGTTTTTAGAATGGGTTTTTTCTCGGAAAATGTTTTTTTATTTTTTTATTTTCTTAAAAAAGCATACCATATTTTTAATAACATACAGGAACAAGAAATGCTTTTAAAACTCAATAAATGTTAAATGTATTCTTTCTTCCTAAAAAATCATGGAAACAAACTATTTCACTTCTTTTCGGAAACATTAATAAATTTAGAATCAAACAATTTGATTAAAAAAAATCACCCTCTCCCATAATACATAAATGGTTGGTGCTTAAACACTTTCGAAAGAAAAATCATAAGGAATAATGAATGCAATCAACAGTTCTGCTGTTACTATTATAAAACGATTTTGTGTCTCCTTAATATTGATATACTTGGTTAAAACAAGTACCTGTCTACTATTACACGCCTTTTTCTTTTTTATTTCTGCCGATTTAGACACGTTTCTTATTTTTGATATATGTTACTATTCTTCGTGAATTTAACATATAGGCATTACGAATTTATCCAGTCTTGGGACCTAGTGTCATTTAATTTGGTTCGTAAATGGCACCAGATGAATGCTTAGTCAATGCATTTTTAAATTCACGCGATTTGCACTATTTTACTATCATCTTTATTAAACTGTTCCGGGATTCATCCACAATGCAATATTTATTTTCATATACCAATACCAATATTGTTGCGACGTTCAATACTATGATTTGTCAAAAAGTTACTGTTGTTGCTAGTAATAAAGTGTACCAATCCTCACTTTTTAGCTCACCTGACCCAAAAGGGTCAAGTGAGCTTTTCTCATCACTTGGCGTCCGTCGTCCGCCATCCGTCGTCGTCCGTTAACTTTTACAAAAATCTTCTCCTCTGAAACTACTGGGCCAAATTGAACCAAACTTGGCCTAAACCATCCTTGAGGTATCTAGTTTTAAAAATGTATTCGATGACCCCGTCGACCAATCAAGATGGCCGCCATGGCTAAAAATAGAACTTAGGAATAAAATGCAGTTTTTGGCTTATATCTCTGAAACTAAAGCATTAAGAGCAAATTTAACGGGGTAAAAATGTTCATCATATCAAGATCTATCTGCCCTTAATTTTTCAGACGAATCAGACAACCCGTTGTTGGGTTGCTGCCCCTAAATTGGTAATTTTAAGGAAATTTTGCAGTTTTTGGTTATTATCTTGAATATTATAATAGATAGAGATATACTGTAAACAACAAAAATGTTCAACAAAGTAAGATCTACAAATAAGTCAAATGACCAAAATTATCAATTGACCCCTTAAGGAGTTATTGCCGTTTATAGTCAAATTTTTACAATTTTTCGTAAATTTTTACAATTTTTCGTAAATTTTTGTGATCTTTTACAAAAATCTTCTCCTCTGAAATTACTGGGCCAAGTTAAACCAAACTTGGCCTAAATCATCCTTAGGGTATCTAGTTTAAAAAATATATCCGATGACCGCATGGCTAAAAATTGAACATAGAGGTAAAATGCAGTTTTTGGCTTATGTCTCTGAAGCTAAAGCATTTATAGCAAATCTAACGGGGTTGAAATGTTCATCAGGTCAACATGACCGAAATTGTCAATTGACCCCTTAAGGAGTTATTGCCCTTTAAAGTAGATTTTTCACTATTTTTCGTATTTTTTTTTAAACTTTTACAAAAATCTTCTCCTCTTAATCTACTTAGCCAAATGGCATTAAACTTAACCACAATTATTATTAGAGTATCTTGATTGAAAAATGTATCCGATTACCCTGCCCTACAACAAACATGGTCCCCATTGGTAAAAATAGAAAATAGGAGTTTACTGTAGAAGTCTAAGGGAAAAATGTAAAAAAACCAATTTCAAATGGTCACAACTTGAAAACTAATTTAAATAATGATAAAGGGTCTTCAGTGACAATTGTAAGACTACAATGGGATGATTTGATTTTTTTCCAGGGGGTGCAATTTTTTCAGGGGGAGGGAGGGTGCTAATAATTTCTCCTTGATATGTTCCATTTTCAGAATTATTCAGTGTAACTTTTTCTATAAACCATTATTATATCTTTTCTTTCAGCATACTTATATTGGGTGAATGTCCCCTCAGATCTGGCGGGTTAGTCGGAGTCAGGGGAACCCCTGCCCAATTTTTTTTATTTTTTGTTACTGGATATCACTATAGATTGAGTAATACTGTCAACAGCAAAAATATCAAGAAAAGAAAGATCTACAAATAAGTTAAAATGACCAATTGGCAATTGACATCTTATTGGAAAGTTATTTTCTGCGATTTATTGGTAATTTTGTAAATCTTTTAAAAAATCTTCTGCTTTTAATTTAACTACTGGGCCAAATTAATCCAAACTTGGCCTCAATCATTATTAGGGTATTTATATGACTTTAACCTTATTTTACATGAATTCCAAAACCACAGTAGATACTGGTGAGCGACACAGGCTCTTGAGAGCCTCTAGTTTTTTATCTCACATATTCGCCATTTTCTTTTTGATGTGACCAAAAATCTTAAACGTTGTTAACACATTACCGGCGTATTAATGTTGTTTGCTCGGTTTGGTTTGTTTACTTGTTTGTTTAGGCTTTTTCAGGAGGTTGGTTGTTTTTGGTTTTGTTGTTGTTTTCGCTGTTTTCTCATTTACAACGTTCGTACAATTATTTAGTTCTAGATAATGATTTTGGAGATACTATTCATTGTTGTAGATTGAATTTTTTAAAATTTATATATATTTATTAATGTATAATATTGCGAATTTTGATGTACAATGTGAATATATTTACAAACAGCACCGAATGTTAACAAAATAACAACCAACCTATCATATTCAATTGTAGTCTCTTCAATATGTTGGTTTGCTTTCTTTTATTTTCAACATAATCGGTTTAGTCTTTTACATGTTAGAATATTTTCATAGAAAAAATTTCCGACATAAATGCCGAAAACCATGCATGCATTTTCATTAATTAAGTGCGGTCATTTTTCATATTTTTTTTTTTATAATTAAACTGATCATTTCAAGTACCCTTGTATTGTGGTAAAATGTGTCCTTCTTTCGTGGTTAGTTTATTCACCGTTGTTGTGTTACAGACGTAACAGAAAACTTACAACCTGGTAAATGTTTTATATTGAAAAAAGACAAAGACAGAGAAGAAAAGGAAAATTGTAAAAACAAACACTTACCATTTTTCTGTAGATTCGGTAAGTAAAACTTTGAAAAGAAATGATATGAAGATGACAAACATACGACCATTGATTGTTCTGATTATAAAAGAGAGGCGAAAGATACCAGAGGGACATTCCAACTCATAAGTCGAAAATAAACTGACAACGCCATGGCTAAGAAAGAAAAAGAACAGACAAACAACAGTATACAAAACACAACATAGAAAACTAAAGACTGAGCAACACGAACCCCACCAAAAACTGGGGGTGATCTCATGTGCTCCGGAAGAGTAAGCAGATCCTGCTCCACATGTGGCACCGGTCGTGTTGCTCATGTTAGTGTAAACCTGGTAATAAGTTTAATTCGGTAGGTCACATGCGGGAAAAGGAGAAGGGATTGTAGTTACGACATTAGGAACATATCCGTTATCATCTGTAACGGTCAACCAACTCGTGATGGCGTCCGTAAAACGTACTAAGGGATGATTTCAACTTTAACTCTTTGAACTCATCTTGGTTTAATAGCTTCCTTGTTAGCAGCAACCCTCTATCAAGGAAATCATCATAGGAAATACAAGCCCTGGAATATTATATCAACTGGGAGATATATACTCCGTATGCAGGCGCTGCTGGAATGTTGCTACATAGAAATGGAAAGTTCGTAATTGGAAATCTGAAATCATCTCTTTTGTCGTAAAGTTTTGTTTTCAACCGACCCTCATTGTCAATGTATAGATGTAAGTCACGATATGAGGCAGACTTAACTGTATCTGTTGTATCCTTTATCTCAAGTTCGATGGGATAGATGCGTTTAACATAGTCACCAAATGTTCAATTATTTAGTGAGAGAGAATATCATCTATATAGCCGAAAGTAAATTTAAAGGATACTGCTTACTTCTTTTCTTTCCTCCTAAGAAGTTCCTGTATAAAGTCAGTCTCATATGAAAAAAGGAACAAGTCGGCAAGAAGAGAGGCACAGTTTGTTCATAAAACATACGAGAGAATAGATATATCAAGAGAGCAATCAAATCGATGAATCGGAGAAAAGCAGACAATAACAACAAACAGACACGTTATCAATATATAACACAGACAACTAACGATTAAGAAGCATTAAGTTCAACAAAGTCAGACATTTCCTACACCATTAAGTACATCCGTCGTGTTTCTCATCGGTAGTAAGTCGTATTTGCAGAAATTATTATGTTTTTCGGCCTGTGCGTCCGTTTGTCAGTTCGTCCGTCTGTCCCGCTTCAGGTAAAAGTTTTTCAGGTTAAAGTTTTTGGTCAAGGTAGTTTTTGATGAAGTTGAAGTCCAATCAACTTGAAACTTAGTACACCTGTTCCCTATGATATGATTGTTCTAATTTTAATGCCAAATTAGAGTTTTGACCCCAATTTCACGGTCCAGTGAACATAGAAATTGATAGTGCGAGTGGGGCATCCTTGTACTATGGACACATTCTTGTTGGTCATCTGTGACACTGATATTTCATAGAGGTAACCCAAATAATGCTGATGGCTTTCGAAGTATGACTTTAGCTTTTCCGTTTGGCATCATCCTTGTACGCATCAACTTTTGTCTTTGAATATTAAGTTATTCAGGATATTGGTGTTAGATAGTCTTTATCGTTAATAAGTATGTTTAAGGGTAAAGGATTTGGAGTAACTTAACATGCAACACTATTCCTTATTCCTTTCAAATAAAGTATAACACAAGCAAACATTATAACTATACATTATTGTTTATAGGAAAGATGAAGCCCGCTTCCAGGTGCGGGATTTTCTCGCTTCGTTGAGGACCTATTGGGGGCGTGGTCTGTTTTCTGCTCTTTGGTCGGGTTGTTGTCTTTTTGACATATTCCCCGTTTTCATTCTCAATTCTATTTATCATTTGCCTTATTCAGAATGTTTGGGCAATCAAAAATAGTAAGCCCAATAAAAACAGTCAACCCCATGGTCAAAATGAAAAACTACGATAGGACAAATAGTAGTTATTAAGTTGAAATTGAAAGTGAAAATAGTAATAAAAGCACTGCCCTCTTTTTGATTAAGACACCTTTTCCCATCCTTTCCACTCCTTAAATGGTACAACATGTACCGTATAGGTTTAAAAAATGAGAGACCTTTCCGAATCAGAATTGGAGAAAACATGAAATAGTTTTTTGTCTTTATAGTATATTTGCATCTAACAATCTCTTACACTATCAATTAACATTATTCGTATTAAATCAGTTACAAATTATTCAGACTGAAAATGTATCATTCCAGTATCATTGCCAATATTATTATTTAGTTTGTTATTATTATTATTAACATGCTATATTACATATTTTGGAATGTATTACAGAGAAGGATGAGGATAAAGGGGATATAATTTCGATTCCGAACCTTTCGATGCCGCAGAAAAATGTTCAGTCTGACGATTTGGGAAGTAAGTTTGATAACTTTTGACTAACACAGACCAGTGGTGACAATATTTTTATAACTTTCTCAGTTCTAGTTAATAATGCTCTGTTCCAAGTTCTCATTTCACAGTTCTAAATGGCATTACTCGTTTCTTAGTTGATATTTCTCACCAAAAAGAAAAGAGACAATATGTGACAGCTGTAATTCAACAACAATTATAGTGAGTCTGTATAATTATAATCTTTATCAGTAAGTCTTTTTTCAATATTTATTTAATAATGTTTAATTAAAAATTGTCTACTGTAAACAACCGCTACAAATTACCTATTTTCCAAAGTTTCTTTCTCAGTTGAATTGGAAAATTTTCTTCCAAAATTAATAAGAATGAGGTGCTCGTTGTTGGTGTATTTTGTCGGACTTTCCAATGTTTTTTGTTTATTCCTTTTATCTTTTTTATGTAATATTAAAAACTATATATTTGAAAACGGAATGAGCCGTGGTTGTGTCAGTCACAACAAAAAAAGTTATCAAAAATAACAGCGTTATGGCTGTTTTATTTGTAATAAAGCCTGTTATAGAATAATTTAAGATATTAAATTTTCCAACGAAATGTAACAAAGAATTATTATATAAGATTTTGTATAACATTGCATAGGATAAACAGATTCTATATTTTCTAAATTTTCATATCATATTTTGCAGGCATAGCAGCTGGAACTGTAACATCAATTATTGTTGTTATTGTGGTGATTTCAGTTCTCGTTTTCATTCATCGAAGAAGGTACTACAATATGTTTCCCAATATGATTACTAGACGTATTTCACATTTAAAAACTATTTGCTACCGCAAACCCCTTATGACTATATTAAATCAACACAAAACTGAATACTTTGATAAAATTGATATGAATTAAAGAAAATATTTTTTTGGCATATTTCAATGTAATAGAAACAAAAAAGGTGCAACATACAGTAAAGGTCATCATACAGGTTGCACTTTTTTTTACAGCTGTTTCACAAACCACGCCTTTTTTGGGGGAGATAGATAATATTCACAGGTATTTTGTTTTGTTTACCTACTGGTTCCCGGATATGATCTCTATGTTCCATCTCATAGAAACACAACTTGGGAATTTTCCCAGTATAAATACACATTGATAGTGGCCATATTGAATTGTTAGGAAAACCCAAAAAGACGGGAGGGGTAGTGCAGAATTTTAGTATTACTTTAAACTCTTAGAAGTTCGAGGCATATACATGTTGAAAATATGCCGCATAGCCCTATGTTTTGACCTTTGAAAAAAATAGTAGTTCATATGAACTTTCAATTCTGGGATATACTTTTTTTTACGAACATTCATAGTAAAAGTGACACAGTTTTAGTCGTAAAGGGAGTTCCTATGGGAAATTACATTGTCTATAATTACAGAATTGCAACCTATATTAAAGTCTTTTTATATGAACTAAATAAGATATTAAAGGTATATAAATATACGTCAATTATAAAACAACCAAACAAAGAACAATCGTATCTACTTGAAGTATAATAAAAGTTTCAGAGTACGTAAACTGCTGATATAGCCCATACCAGAATCAAGAATTTAAATTTAAAATAATAATAAATGTAAAGTAGGTTATTTCCCTTTTCGGGCAGTAGAAATGATTCACGGCAATGAAGCTCAATGGAGATATAAAAATAAGAAGATGTGGTATGATTGCCAATGAGACAATTCTCCACCAGTGACCAAATGACATAGAAGTTTATAACTATAGGTCACCGTACGACCTTCAACAATGAGCAAAATCCGCATAGTCAGCTATAATTATAAAAGGCCCCTAAATGACAAATGTAAAACAATTCAAACGATAATGTTATGATTCATTTTTGTCGATTATATACCCAGTTCCATTTTAAAGCTGCTTTCTTGGCTTCCGCTTCCTTTATATCTGTTTAGTCCTTGTTGATTTAAAGATAATACTTGGTTCATATAAATTTCAAATTAACAAGGGTCTTTTGCCTACAGCCAGTAATCAAATTCAATTATCAAGCTGGTAATTTTGTAAATTAAAGTGAAGCGTAGATTTACATTTACTTCTCATCACGAATCTGCTCTACATCAAACGATTATGTATACTACTTTAACTTAAAACAAGGAAATAACCCGTATGTAATTGCAATTTTAAAATTAAATTCATTATTTCGAAATAAAATTTCATAACTGTACTATATAAATCCAGAATTCCTATAACATTTTGACAATGTTCATTCAAATGACAAATAATCAAAACGGCAGAATAAACATAATCTTAGGATAACCGGACTGTTGTTAAAAAGATGACGTCGATACTGAATCATAAGAAATCGCGTGGATTTACAAGGCAAAAATTGCAAATACACGACTTGGAAATGATTTTTTTTCAATTATTTGAGCTATTTATTTGTATATATTTATAACTAAACAGTCAACTATTCCTTTTAGGCTGTCTAAAAAGACACCGACCCTTCACGAATCACAAAATAATAGTCGTCTGCAAGATACAGTGGGGTTGCCTAGTAACTACGAAACCTCTAAGGCTCCAGTATACTATGAAATAGACGCTGAAAACTTTGGTCCACACAGTGGAAAGTTGAATTGTTCTCGTGCAGTTAATAACATCACTTACGACCAGGTAAATTCTTACAAGATTCCGAAGTCGCAAAATGTGAACCAAAGCACAAACAGTTCTATTTTAACAAATTTGAACTCCCTCGAGCTTCAAAGAAATGTTGATCCAGATGAATATGAAATGGCAAAGGTAATAAATGTAACCGGGAATTCTTCTGAAGGTGTACATTCCAGTAATTATTGTTTAGCAAAACCAATTACAAGTAACACAGAAGAAGAATCCGATCCGTATGACATTAACAGAGACTACGATCATCTAAATAACGTCAAGAAGAAAGAAGACCCGATTACAAAAGTATACGACCACCTACCAACAACTGTTACTGATGACCCTACTTACGATCACTCTAATCTTAAGAGTGTTTTAGACAATGATGGCTATTATGATCATTTTACGATTGACGGAGCAGATGTATGATACAAAAGTTTTGTATAAAGGTGCTTGCATATACACTTTCAAGGATTTGACTTTCTAAAACTGTAAGAGTTTCTTACATACTGAGTTTTAAATTTGAACAGATCTATTAAAAAGATGTTGTATGAATATTTGTTGTTAATTATCTTTTCAGTATCACAAACCAATGTCTATGTTTTATTTTTAAATAGACACGATAACAAGGTGACAATAGAAAACTGTAAGTTAAAAAAAAACATTAGCCAGCATGAAAGAAAGACAAACAATAGCGAGACAAACGTTAACATCACACACAAAAAATGAAGAAAAAGCAACACCATCGTAACAAACAACCACTGATTCACTCAAGTGCGTGTACTCTACTAGTTACACATACAGTGTGGTTACTGATAAGTGTTACCATGACATTCTATTCGCAGGAATCTATGTCATTTATGAAAATCGGCTTCCAGATTCATTGGTTATTTGAACTGTTATAACTGTTCTGCAAATTAGAATATTTGGTAGATTTGTTGACGAATGTGTTAAACTGATAACTGTTCAGAGTTTGGTATGCCCTATGAACACCTGTCTTTCAATAAAGATCGTGAACTTGCCTCTGAATGGATGTCATTATTGTCTTTGGTTGATATCCCAAATTTATTTCTAGTTTAATGTAACATGTGCAAGAAATACACTTACAAATTTATAAAAGACACTTCACTAACTTGTCAAACGATAAACAGAGGAAACATTAACAGTCAAATTAGTAAACTATGTAGCATCCTTATATGAATTTATGACAATGAAAATCTTAAAGAAAGTTTCGTATATTCACATTTCGTCATGTTCAATATACAATAAAAGAAAACCGGAAGATTGAAGTGCAAGATAAGCTGCTTACCTTTCCTCAGCTCCTTATTATAACCCTGCTCTTGGTGGGGTTCATCCTGCTGAATCGTTAATTTGATATGCATTGTCCGCAACCTTGTTCGTCTTTTTCGTCGTTTTTCGTTTCTTTTCATGGCGTTGTCATGTTTTTTTTTTACTTATAAAATGTGAATGTCCTTCCTATAACCAAATGTTAAACCGTTGTAAGGTTCGACGCGGCATGTTATGACTAGTAATTTTTTCTCGACTATATTTTATATCTTTATTATATGCAACGATTTGTCAGAAATTAGTTTGTAAAATCAGTATTGTTTGAAGTAATGAATAAAATTCTACATATACCTCAGTCTAAGGTTAGCTTAAGTCTGATTTAAAAAAAAAGTTTAAAAAGGTTTCATGTTCTTTTTGTCGTCCTTATTTCTGAAAAAAAATTAAATGCATCCTTCACCAACCTTTTAGTCTTCGCGTTTGTTGCAATATCCCACTTAATTGCTGGTTGGTTTGTTCCCGCTGGAGATGTCTATTTTCAGCTAGTTGGTTTTTTGATATCTTCAGTTGAAAACTCGGTTAATTAATTTCATGACGACAAATGTGATGCTTATTCATATCTTAGACCTTGTTTTAAGGCTTGTGTAGATCTATGCCAGCTAATTTTAGCTGTGCCACCACGAACCCTGATAGTCTTGTACCTACCGATTCGAGTTTGCTATTCAATGCTGTAAGAACATCACGTCGAAAGTATCGTAACATTTTGGTCCTAGCTTGGTCAAACTGAGATTTGGTGGCGTATCTCTTTTTTACATCATAGAACAGTTACTGTGAGCGATTCCTGTTAGAATCTTCTAATAATAGTCAGATGATCGCATCGAGTATCTTTGCGGATTGAGTAAAGGTGCATTAGTATGCTGGTCATTGATTGTTAACTTTGGTTGGCATATTTGCCTCCAACCCAACACAGTTTATTCGTTTTTCTGAAATATTGTGGTTGCGATTTTTTGTTCTTTTCCGGAAGAAAGATTTACGATTAGATTTAGCTTAGTGAAAAGTACACAAAAAAGAATATTATAAGCGTGAGCTTTATTTTTGTTTATTTCATTCATCTTTTACAATAACAAACAATTCACAATTAGAATAAACAAAATTAGGGTAAATTGTGCAAAAATAAATGTAAAGCAGAAAAAGCTGCCAAAATCTCAGAATTGCAAAGATCAGAGCAAAAAAATGAAATTGTTCACCAATGAAAACAATGGTTCTTCGAACCAGCGATCGTAAAGTTGCTAGAGGCAATACAGGGAATGCCATTCCAAGCAAGTGTTCGTCAACTCATTTCGAGCGATTACCTAACACTTCTTTGTTGATTAACGTATATGTTATATCAATAACCGTGCAGGGGGTAAGTACTGGTAGTGTGTTCCGTAAATAGAACAATAGAAGAACCAAAAAAATGCAACCTTTTTTGACAGTACACTTTATATACCAGTCATCTGTGGTTAATGTTTTCAAAATAGAGCCAGGCGGCGTAATGCTTAGTGACTACGACGCTAAAAACTGAACTACTACGTGGCTATGAATGTTTGTGGCGGAAAGAAGGCTATAAAACGAATAAAGCGTATAAATATGTCACGTATAATTAAATAAGAGGACATTTAATACTGAGAACAAACAGATCGGATCTTTTAGTGAAAAAGTATAGAAGCTATTATCGAGTGAAAAGTAAAACAACAAAAATACCGAACTCCAAGGAAAATTCAAAACGGAAAGTCCCTTAACAAGTGAACGATATTGTGTCTGCCAAGAAACAGAAATAACGAACCGATCAATCGGTTTGAACTTGTTATCGTGGCACAAAGGCGTGATCGCTGAATAGCTTCTAAATTCTGTGGTGTGTGAGAAGGTTGAGCATTACTAACTTCTATGGTATTTTCTTTCGAAGCAACCGGCCGATAATGACACCTAACCTGAAATATAATTTAATACATTTAAATGACCAATGTAAGGTTGGGATCGCATTTGTTTACATGAAGACGCATTGGTTGCTAACTCCGGAAGAGTTTCGCTGTTACTTTAGACCAACGTCAAGTGCACACAAGTTCAGACACACTAAATCCTTATCTATGAATGCTGATGCTTGTGATTGAACTGTCTACAGCTTATCGAACACCTAGGATATCCTATACGGATTGTTATTACATTTAAACTTGTGCATGTTAATGTTGTTTTGTTTGCTAAATTGTATGGAACATTTTGTTTTCAAATTTATCTACAATATAATGTTTCATCTTAAAAAGTACGATCCTCATACCAGATTAAAGATAATGATTTTCTAAATTAAGACACAGTGTTGTAAGTTGTATTGTCAACGGTTAATCGGTTAACCATCGGAATGACCGAATATCAAATAACAAAAACATAAACCGGTTGTTCGGTCCTTACATTTTGATAAATTTGATATGAATGTACATTGAATTCATAAACGACAATACCAAATTTTAAAATGTAGTACTTAATGAAACCATGATAAATTGTCCTATATACTTGATCAAAAGTGACAAAAATATAATTCTAATATAATGACCTATATATCGTCAACCAGTATAATCACAGTAAATCCACTTTTAGCTCAAGCGCATAAATACACAAAACTGACTGTTCCGCGTTTCGCATAACTTATTAATACTACCAGGTATTCTCAATTTGCGACATCAAAACCCACAGTTTACGTAGGCCAAGATTCAGATACAAAATAGTTATTTCTATTATAAAGCAAAATAAACAAATCAGTCCATTTCAATTTATTTTTCGGTGTGAAATTTCATAAAAACGAAAATTCCGCGAAATGATGTTATCGTCTTTGCATGTCAACTACACAAGGTGACGTCATATGTATGCTTCACGCATCAATGTAAACACTAGGCGTTTAAAAGAACATATATAGGTGAAAAATGTGATTTTTTAAAATTTATTATTGAATAATGTAATATTAATAATATTATCATATGGAGGTAGAACGGAACAGCCAAAACAGTATCGTGTGTATAGGGCTTTCACGGTTAACAAAATTACCGAATTTGTCCTATTAGAATAAATAATTCATGTCGCTCGGAATAAAATAATCGAATATAAATGCCCAACCAATGGTGACAAGAAATCATTAGATTCTTTTTTTAATTCGGTAATGAACATAGTTGATATACGTATTCAACATTTTAAAGATCATTTTACTCCTAACAACAACCATATTAGCCCAATTTCTAATTAGCACAAAGACATCTTGATTGTCAATTTTGGGCACATTATAAATAAAACATCAGTCACACGGTAAACGTTTAGATTTGAAGAATGAATATACATAGAACAGTTGCAAGCTGATCTAAATTTACTATTTGGTTCATTATTTCACTTTAATTCAATATGGTATTGACTTAAATGTAAAACTGTCAATTGCCAACATTCAAGACTTAGTCAAATTTCAAAAGAAATGCTGATTAACTTCTTAATCGGCAGAAAAATTATACAAGTAACCGGTTAGCAAAATAGTTCAATTAAACAACACTAGTTTTAAGATACTACATGTAGTATTGAGCAGGAACATCATCTGCTGTTGTATGATGGCTTATAATATGATACTAACATCGCACACTTCATAAATAGGAGATAGTATGAATGAAAGTAATCGTTTAATGCAGTTTAATAATACAGGTATTACAGTTCACTATCAGCATTTATACAACAATATTTGATCTTGTCGCAACATTTCCATTTCACGGGATTCAAATATCCATACTATCATTTAATTCAATTTGAAATCTGATCATCCGGAAATAATCCGATGTCTACTTTTCTTCCCACCCTATTCCGTATTTTAGAACTTGTTCGAGCCAATACAATCTTAATGACATTTGTAAGCAACCAAACAGAACAAACTTCGGATAAGTAATAATTTCAAGATGTCATATGTAGCAACTGAAACTTTTAGCTTCGCATCGTTATGCGATGCAATAAATAGAAAAACAATATTACAAATAGGACGTCTTCGAAGTCCTCTTAACAATAATGAAATGAAAAGATATTGGTTTTGATGCATAAGGAAAACGACCATTTAATAATAAAAATTAAAAATATTCGAGTGTTCTTATGTACATGGTTATACGTACAGTGTACGGCCATTGTACAAAAGTGCCTATAGGGGTTTCAAAGAATAAATAATGTTGTTATGCCAAAAGTTTACTTTACATCATCGATGTATCTAAACAGATGAT